TTTATAAAAACTTTAATAGAGGCAATAAATATCTGAACCCTCTACACAAGCCCTGGAGGAGCCTCTGATTGGCCTTCAGAGAAAGACCCAGAAGGAAGCGGAGGAACAGGTCCAGGTGTCCATTTGGACTTTGCAAGGCCACGTTCAAAGCACTCTGATGGAGCTGTTTTAGCTTTGGTTTCTTTTTTACTGAAGGCCCCTTTGAGAATGCTTCTTGTTCTAGCAGGTTGATTCCAGAGTTGATGAAGGTCAGATGGACGTGCAGAGCAGCCAGAAACTCCTGAACACTCAGGTGGATGAAGCAGAACACCCGGTCCTGGTACAGCCCTCTCTCCTCCAAAAAGACCTGTGTGAATACTCCTGAGTACTTTGAGGCTGCTGAGATATCGATACCACACTCTGTCAGGTCTGATTCATAGAAGATCAGGTTTCCTTTCTGCAGCTGATCAAAAGCCAGTTTTCCCAGAGACTCCACCATCTTCCTGCTCTCTGGACTCCAGACTGGATCTGTCTCGGTTCCTCCATCATACTTGGCCCTCTTGACTTTGGCCTGAACCACCAGGAAGTGGATGTACATCTCAGTCAGGGTCCTGGGCAGCTGCCCCCCCCCTCTGGTCCTCAGCTCGTCCTCCAGAACTGTAGCAGAGATCCAACAGAAGACTGGGATGTGGCACATGATGTGGAGGCTCCGGCAGCTCCTGATGTGGGAGATGATGCTGCTGGCCTGGGTCTCCTCTCTGAACCTCTTCCTGAAGTATTGCTCTTTCTGCTCGTTCCTGAAGCCTCTGACCTCCGTCACCATGTCGACGCAGTCAGCAGGGATCTGATTGGCTGCTGCGGGCCGTGTGGTTATCCAGAGGCGAGCGGAGGGAAGCAGCGTCCCCCTGATGAGGCTGGTCAGCAGCACAGCCACTGAGCTGGACTCTGTGATCTCAGTCAGGGGCTCCTGGTTGTGAAAGTCCAGAGGAAGCCGACTCTCATCCAGACCATCAAAGATGAACACAACCTGGAACCCGGAGAAGCTGCAGACTCCTGCTGCTTTGGTTTCAGGAAAGAAGTGATGGAGGAGTTCCACCAAGCTGAACTGTTTCTCTCTCAGCACGTTCAGCTCTCTGAAGGTGAAGGGAAACAGGAAGTGGATGTCCTGGTTGGCTTTGCCTTCAGCCCAGTCCAGAGTGAACTTCTGGGTCAGGACTGTCTTCCCAATGCCGGCCACCCCCTTTGTCAACACTGCTCTGATTGGCTGCTCTCTTCCAGGTGGGCCTTTGAAGATGTCTTCCTGTCTGATGGTTGTTTCTGGTCTGTGTGGTTTCCTGGACGCTGCTTCAATCTGTCTGACTTCGTGTTCCTCGTTGACCCCTGCTGCCCCCCCTTCTGTGATGTAGAGCTCTGTGTAGATCTGGTTCAGGAGGGTCGGGTTTCCAGCTTTAGCAATGCCCTCAAACACAGTCTGGAACTTCTTCTTCAGAGCAGATTTATGTTCACGCCGACAAACTGCAGCAAAAACTTCTGCATGAAGAACAAACAACATCAGTGAGTGAACGTCAAACCCTGTAAAGCAGCCTGAGAACATCTACTGTGCCGGTAAAGCTGTGACTTCTGCAGCAGGTTAAAGCTCTCACCGCTCTGCAGACGCTCAGCCAGCTCCTGCTGCTTCATCCTCCTCAGGAGGTGCACTGTGATCCTCACCACTGCCTCCCTGCTGCTCCTCTGCTCTGCATCCTCAGCCTCCCTCTGACTCTCTGAGCCTGGTGGGGAATCTGGACTCAGAAGCTTCTGGATCTCCTTCAGCTCCTCCTTCACAAACGTGATCATGTTGTCCTCCAGCAGCTGGAACAGAAACTCTGAATGAGCCCATCAGACTGAAGCATGGAGCCAGACATCAGCTCCATGATGGACTCTGACAGCTGGTCTACAGAGTGCAGCATGGAGATGGAAAGATGTACAGACCCTGAAGATGGAGTCCAGCTGGGAGCCACTGGGAGCCTCTGAGCTCTGCTGGGCCGCTCTGTGGAGGAACCAAGAACAATCAGCTCACATCCAAGATGTCAGAAAATCCATCAGGAACAGGATGAAGCTTTAACTGAACTCACTGTTTGTCTGATGGAACATGCTGTCTGAAGTCCAAAAGATGGTCCTTTGACCAGTCGCTCTTAAAAGAAATACAGCTGGGTCCTGGTTCAGGTTTAGTCCCTGGTCCTTGTTCCAGACTTTTTCTTGGTGCTGGCTGGTTCCTGTGAATAAACCCAGACATCAGAAAAGTAATCAGGAACAGGAAAACCAATAATTTCCCTCTGGATTATTAACATATTTCTGATTCGGATTCTGAAATCAGAAAATCCATCAGGAACAGGATGCAGCTTCAATTGAACTCACTGTTTGTCTGGTGGAACATGCTGTTTGAAGAACCAAAGATACTCCTTTGACTGGTCACTCTTAAAAGACACACAGCTGTCCTGGTTCTGGTTTAGACTCTGGTCCTGGTTCTGGTTTATTCTCTGGTCCTGGTTCTGGTTTATTCTCTGGTCCTGGTTTGGTTTCAGGTCCTGGCTGGTACCTGTGAATGAAGCTGGTTCAGTCTGTGGGTCCTGACATGGTAAAGGACCCACAGACGTTAGTCGTTAGTCCTGGACTAAGATGGTCCTCTCACCCCTGAGTTCTGCTCTGGCTCTCAGGTTCCCCACTGGGAGTGTTTTCAGAGTCCTCAGGCTGATCCATTCTGCAGAGTTCCCAGCAGCTCAGACACTTTGAGCCTCCACCTGCAGAGTTCCCAGCAGCTCAGACACTATGAGCCTCCACCTGCAGAGGAAACAGCAGCTCAGACCCTTTGAGCCTCCACCTGCAGAGGAAACAGCAGCTCAGACACTTTGAGCCTCCACCTGCAGAGGAAACAGCAGCTCAGACCCTTTGAGCCTCCACCTGCAGAGGAAACAGCAGCTCAGACCCTTTGAGCCTCCACCTGCAGAGGAAACAGCAGCTCAGACACTTTGAGCCTCCACCTGCAGAGGAAACGGCAGCTCAGACCCTTTGAGCCTCCACCTGCAGAGGAAACAGCAGCTTAAAGCCTCCTGCTCCATCTGGCTGTGCAGAGCAGCTGCTCCTCCCCTGATTGTCAGATTCTCTAGTTCTGATCAGCTGCTGTTCTGCTGACAGTCCAGCAGATGGAGGCACACGGCATGATGGTTACATCACACTGAAAGTGAAAGCATCTCAGCAGCAGACGGTCACCACACCCCAAGGTTTCTGAG